GTTACTATATGAACGAGTCATGAGTTTTTGTAGCAGCATGAGGCCTAATTAGTCTTACGACAGGTAATCCTTCCATGTCAGTCCTTTGGTTACTGTAGGTATTATTATCATCTGCCTTTGCACAGCAGCAGCTCAATCAAGACCTAGCTTTAGTGAAATTCTTGCCTCTCACTTTCATACGATCTCTTGTCCATGTCATGTTGTATTTTTTCCGCATTTGTCAGGTGAACCTTTTATTAACGGGCAAGCAGTTCCTTATGACCCCAAGTACCATGAAGGTCGGGAGAGAAATATTACTCCAGCTGACAAGAGGAACTCGATTATTTATCTACCCTGTATTTTCAACAGATCGAGTAACTTTGAAAGGAGGAGGGAAAATATGCAGAGCAGAGATTTCCAAGGCCGGGACATGCCACCTATGCATAACCAAGGGTTGCAGAACCCTCCACCTCAAGGCAACATGCCCCCACCAAATATGGGCGGTGGAATGGCCCCACCAAGCAACTTTGGCGGGATGCCTCTGCACAACCAAGGTGGAATGCCCCCAAACAACTACGGCGGGATGCCTCCGCGTGACCAAGGTGGAATGCCACCAAACAATTTTGGTGGGATGCCTCCGCAAAACAACATGGGTGGAATGCTGCCCCAAAACAACATGGGTGGACCGCTGTCAAATAACATGGGTGAGATGCCACCTCAGAGCAATATGGGAGGGATGCCTTACAACAATATGGGTGGAATGCCATTCCCAGACATGGGGGCTGCTCAGAACGTGGGAAGTTTTTCACAGAATCAAGGATGGTCCAATACTACGCCTCAAAGAGATGCTGGGAATATGCCAAACTATCTGATGCAGGCCAGATTGATAATGCCGCCCGCATCGAAGACGAGCTCACTCGACCAAGGAGATCAGCCCGCATCCGAGCTCGACAAGTCGCTCGACCAGTCTTGAAGATATCGAAGGGACGCAATTCGAAGACCAAGAGTCTCATCCGCGAGTCCATGCTACAATAAAGTCCTTGTCTTTTCCTATACATTGGAAGCCTAAAAGATACTTTGGGATGATGAAGAAGACGTTGGGCATTTATCTAGTTTCTAGTTTCTAAGTTCTTTAATGTTTTATGCCTTTTAGGGTCTTTAATGCTCTTTAGTCTCTTCATTTGCTTGAGTCTTTTCATTTGTTTATCTTTGGCTATAAAAGACCATCTACTTTATGTATTCGACAGACGAATTTGATTAATAAAAATTTTGCATCAAGCAATTATCTTGAACTTTGAAGAGTTCATACCTCTGAAAATCTAGAAGAGTTTTCACTCCATCGTTGAAGAGTCGGACATTTTCAAATCTGCATCCTTGAAGAGTTGCAGTCATCGATCTAGAAGAATCGGTGCCCTATCCACTTCCTTGGAGGCTTGGAAGAGCAACCAACGAAGTTCTATCTTTTCCTCTGTTCTGTCCCTTTACATCTGTCCACTTCCACCCCGATTTCACTCTTCATATAGTGCTTATTTGAGAAAACTCAAAACAGAGAAATTGTTAATCCAGAAGTCTTTGTTCATTTGGCTTTGGAATCAGGTCATTCCGATTTGTATCGACGAAGTTACATCCATTTTCCCGAGCTTGAGCAGGACTGTAATTACTGTTCATCATGTTCCACGTGTGCAAGTCACTCTCCCGATCCTAACGTTCGAGTAGCCTACACCAGGCTGCATCATTTGGTATCAGAGCTTTGGAGGAGAGAACCATGCCGCCAAGACAAGCTAGACGTCATGGAGGCAGAACCATCCCACTGAATGAAGTGCATACGCTCGCTGACAATTTGCAGCAACATATGCAACAACAAATTAATGAGTTGATGCGAGAAGTTGAGCGTCTGAGGGTGGAAAGAAACAATTCACCACCTCGTTCCAAGACCGAAGATTCTAATGGTGACTCTTCATCTTCGGAGAATGTTCGACCATTTCACAATCGGAGGAATGATCGACGTCACGAGCAAAACATTTGTGAACCGGAGTGGGAAAAAGAAGTTAAAAAGGATATTCCGGAATTCTCAGGTAATGATTCTCCTGAAGAAATTGTTGACTGGCTAACACTTGTTAATGAAGTGTTTGAGCATCGAAATATTCCGGAGGATCGTCGAGTCGAGATCATCGCTATGCGATTCAGAGGTAAAGCCATCGCTTGGTGGAGGCGTGAGAAGCAAACTCGCCAATCCGTTGGCAAAGCGCCAATTACCTCGTGGAGGAAGATAGAAGACAAGATCCGAAAGTATTTCCTACCTAAGGGATACAAGAGAGAGCTCTATCAAAGGTACCAAAATCTGAGACAAGGTACGCGAACGGTGGACCAATACACCAACGAATTCAATGAGTTGGTGATTGGCAACAACATTCAAGATCCGGAGGAAATGCTTGTGAGCAAGTACTTGAATGGCCTTCAACTTCATATTCAAGATGCCCTGGAAGTCCTTGATATTTAGGACTTAGGAGATGCACACCAGCGAGCACTCAAGGTGGAGCGTTCTCGCTCAAGGAGGCAACAATCCTCTATCATGACCAATCAACCCGCTAGGAGTACCCCCGGCACCACCAAAGTTGCTGAGGCTACGACGCAAACCGCTAGTAAGTTTCCTAATCAGCCCAACATTTTTAAGCAACCAACTACGTCCGATATTCGTTGCTATACTTGTGGTGAGTTGGGTCATCGTGCTAGCAATTGCCAAAAGAACAAGAATCGACAAGCTGGCAAAGCCTTCTTAGTGGATAACGATTCTGATGAGCATGTGGAGGATCCGCTCGAAGAAGAGGTGAATGATGTTGAAGAGTTCGCAGGTGATAAGCAAATAGTGCATGCTGATTCTGGTGAATTTCTGATGGTGAGAAAAATCTTTCTAGTTCCTCGTGATGAGACCGGAGATGGGTGGCTGCGCACCAACATTTTTCATTCTGCTTGCACGATTAAGGGGAAGGTATGTCAATTGATTATTGACTCTGGATGTTGTGAGAATACAATTTCTGAAAGGGCAGCGAACAAACTAAAGTTGGAGTTAAAGGCGCACCCCACACCTTATAAGATGTCGTGGCTATCGAAAGGCACCGAGATAACCGTTTCCAAACGCTGCCTTGTTAATCTATCCATTGGTTCTGTTTATTTCGACAAGATATTGTGCGATGTTCTACCGATGGATGCTCGTCATGTTACTCTTGGGCGACCATGGCAATTCCATAGCCGGACTACTCATGATAGTTATCGAAATACGTATTCTTTTGAATTTGGAGGTAAGAAGATTATATTAGCACCTAGTAAGGAGCCTTTAAAAACTCCTGTTGTCGAAAAGTCTTCATCTCCTACATTGCTTTTGATGAACGATATAAAAGGTGCTTTAAAAGGGGTTCGTATTGTATATGTTTTACTTCACAAAGCAGGTGAAGTTGCTTCTTCTGATCGGGACACAAAGTTTCTCGGACATTTTTGGCGACAATTGTGGAAGAATGTCGGTACTAAACTACAATATAGTACTGTGTTTTATCCCAAACTGATGGGTAAACTAAAGTCGTCAATCGAACCTTGGGAAATCTATTGAGGACAATGATTGATGAAAATCCTCGCTCTTGGGAGACACGATTGTCACATGGCGAATTTGCATATAATTGTGCTGTAAACAGTACGACTGGGTATAGTCCTTTCATGATCGTGTATGGACAACAGCCGAACACTGCTCTTGATCTTGCACCCATTCCTTTTGCTGAAAAGTCGAGTGGCAATGTTGAAGATATTGTTTCTCAGATGAGAGCAATTCATCAAGATGTGCGCCAAAGGTTAGAAAGCAAGACAGAGTCCTATAAAAAGGACGTCGATAAACAGAGGCGTGAAGTTATCTTCGAACCAGGAGATTTTGTTTGGGCTTACTTGCCACCAGAGCGTCATCCTGTTGGAAGCTATAACAAGCTTAGTGATCGAAAGCTTGGTCCTCTTGAAGTTCTTGAGCACATCAATCCCAATGCATATCGCTTAAGGCTTCCTTCTCATATGAAAACACATGATGTTTTCAACGTTCGGCATTTAACACCTTATGCTGGTGATTCCTCTGATGATGACATGAATTCGGGGACGAATTCTTTTAAAGAGGGGAGGATGATGCAGGCCAGATTGATAATGCCGCTCTCATCGAAGACGAGCTCACTCAACCAAGGAGATCAGCCCGCATCCGAGCTCGACAAGTCGCTCGACCAGTCTTGAAGATATCGAAGGGACGCAATTCGAAGACCAAGAATCTCATCCGCGAGTCCATGTCACAATAAAGTCCTTGTCTTTCCCTATACATTGGAAGCCTAAAAGATACTTTGGGATGATCAAGAAGACGTTGGGCATTTATCTAGTTTCTAGTTTCTAAGTTCTTTAATGTTTTATGCCTTCTAGGGTCTTTAATGCTCTTTAGTCTCTTCATTTGCTTGAGTATTTTCATTTGTTTTTCTTTGGCTATAAAAGACCATCTACTTTATGTATTCGACAGACGAATTTGATTAATGAAAATTTTGCATCAAGCAATTATCTTGAACCTTGAAGAGTTCATACCCTTGAAAACCTAGAAGAGTTTTCACTCCGTCCTTGAAGAGTCGGACGTTTTCAAATCTGCATCCTTGAAGAGTTGCAGTCATCGATCTAGAAGAATTGGTGCCCTATCCACTTCCTTGGAGGCCTGGAAGAGCAACCAACGAAGTTCTATCTTTTCCTCTGTTCTGTCCCTTTACATCCGTCCACTTCCACCCCGATTTCGTCCTTCCTATAGTGCTTATTTGAGAAGACTCAAAACAGAGAAATTGTTAATCCAGAAGTTTTTGTTCATTTGGCTTTGGAATCAGGTCATTCCGATCTGTATCGACGAAGTTACATCCATTTTCCCGAGCTTGCGCAGGACTATAATTACTGTTCGTCCTGTTCCACGTGTGCAAGTCACTCTCCCGATCCTAACATTCGAGTAGCCTACACCAGGCTGCATCACTATCAGAGCCAGAATTACACTCCTAGCAGGGATCCGTCAACTGTACTGGGTAAAAATGCTTATTAGGTTGTCGCGACCGAACTCCCGAGCCCTTTTTATCGAACAACATGCAAAAAAAGGGAGCTCGCCTGGTACGTGCTAAGTCTAGGTTCGGGACTTAACTCGGGCCCTCCCAAGCCCATACCATATCGCGACTTAGGGTTTAAGTATTTAACATGCAAGTGGTTTATACCAAGGAGTCGCCACTAATCGATTTGGGGTGGGCCGATTAGAAACCCAAATAGGGTGATGGGAGAATCACCATATTCCTACGAACCAGAGATTAACTGAATTCGGGGACTTGGTTACACTAGTTGGATAACTAATGCCCTTTCGGTACCATTTTACCCTGTTCATTTCTGAAAACATTTGTCAGGCAATTTGGATTGATTTTAGGACCTTTCTCCTAACATGTGAGGTGATCAAGCGAGTGCATAATCAGGAACGATCAGCAGTCAGGAACACAACAATTCATGCAGCCTAAGATTCTAACCTTAACTAAGTCAGATGACATTCAAAAAACACAACACTCATGCAATTGTATTAAAAACATGCATAACAATACAACGGTAATAAAAACTAACATGCAAAATACTACCGCGCAACCTCAGGCTTGTCTAATTTAAACAAGACAAAAAACATGCATAATAATATCACATTAGATTAAGACACTTAGAATATATCAAACAAAATTTTAAAATTTTTTTAAAATTTTTTTTTTTCGAAAAAAAAAAATATTAATAATAATAATAATAATACAGAAGAAAAGAAAAAGAAAAAAAAAGTAAATTTTTTTTTAAAAATTTTTAAAAATTTTTTTTTTAAAATTTTTTTTAAAAATAAAATAAAATAAAATAATAATATAATATTAACCGGGTCGAGCGGATCCGGGTCGGAACCGACCCAGGTCAACGGATCCGACCCGGGCGTTGACCCGGGTCGGATCTGTTGATTCGGGTCGAATCCGACCCGAACAAACAGATCCGCGGGGAGGGGGGCGCCGGCGAGGCCAAAATTGGCCGTCCGCCGGCCGACCCAGGCCAGTGCCGCCCCCTAGTCGCCCGACCAGGACCGCCTCTGGCCGTGCCACTCACCTGAACCGCCGTCGGACCACCGTTCGCCGGCCGGCGATGGAACAAAAACCGGCGTGGTTGAGGCATTTCGTCGAACGCTTTGGCGGGCGCGTGGAAAACGGGGGATTAGGCCTCCTCCGGCGATCCCGGTCGGCTCCCGGCGGCTTAGGTTCGCCCGGACGGTGAGCGAGGGACCGGGACCGACGTCGGTATGGGCCGGGATTCGCGCGAAACGGCCGGCGCGAGTCCCGGCCAAACCGAGCCAAAAATCAGGGGAAAACAGGGGAGCTTTGCGGCCGAGGGGGGCTCACCGGTCGACGGCGCGTCTGGGCGGCTTCCGGCTAGTCTGGCGGCGTCGACGACCGTTGCTGGTTCTTCTTTAGCTCCGGCTGGTTCTCGGCTCCCTCTCTCTCCCTCTATTCTCTCTTTTGTCTCTCTCAGTCGCTCTCTGTGTTTCGCCGACCAGGGGCTCTCTCTCTCTCTCTCTCACTGTGTCACCGCCGTCGGCTCGGCGGCGGGGATGGATGGCTGAGGCGCGGTGCGAGCACGGCAGTCGCCGGAAGATCTCTCGGTCTCTCTGTCTTGCTCAGTCTCTCTCTTTCTCTGTCTTTTTTTTAGAAACGGCCGACCGTCTCTCTCTCTCTCTTTCTGTCTTTCATAGCCAACGACGACGAATCTGGGCCCGGCCGCGTCGGCGTGACGATGGCCTGCACCGGCCTACGCCACGCCACGACTTTCGTGGCCATTGCAGGCCGGTGCAGAGCAGAGCAGGAGGGGTCGGTGCCGAGAGGGTGCAGAGAATCGAGAGGGAGGAGGGGATAAAGGAGAGGGGAAATGGGGAGGACGGGACTGGCCATTAATGCCAGTCCCGTCGGCGTGGCTTCATCCGGCTCTCCTCTCGCCGGACAAACGACGGCGAGAAGCGCGCGCCGCCGTGCGTCACGCTTCCGTCGCGAAAGCGTGGGAGAACAGGGCGAGGAGAGCGACCGGCGCAGGGGGAAGAGAAGGAAAGGAGCTGGGCGGCCGGGCCCGGCCGCGGGGGGAGAGAAAAAAAGAAAAGGAAGTGGGCTGGGCCCGCGCGAAAGGAAAAAAAGAAAAAGGAAAAGGGGCCGGGCCCGGGGGAAAAAAGGAAAAAACGAAATGGGCCGGGTCGGCCCAGCTCCGACCCGGCCCGACTCGATTTTTTTTTTTTTTTTTTTTTTTAAATTTTTGTTTAAAATTTAAGAAAATATGCTCTAATAGGCCCTATTAATGCACATATGCCTAATGTCTATATGCAATGCATTTAAATAGAAATATTTTTTGTTTTAGGAATTAAAGAAAATTAATTCCTAAATTTTGTGTAATTAATTTTGGGCAAATTAAAAATAGGTGTCAACAGCTGCCCCTCTTTGAAGGTGAGCTCGCAGAGATTGAGCTCGCAGAGGTTACGTTCAAAGATAAAATGGCACCTAAATTTGGCCCATGCATGTTCAATGAATGTTATTTTTGGCGAGACCAGAGTCCCATTTTTATGATGCGATATAAGATGATGCATGCTAAAGCAAATGAAAACATACCTGGGGCTACTTACCTTGCCGAAGGGTAGAGTAATTCCAGATAGTTGATATTGTGTGTCGAGGACCCGAACCTGTCTTCGGTCGCCTTGACGGGAAAAATGGTTTGTCTAGGACCCGAACCTTTCTTCGGTCGCCTTGACGGGGATTGTTTTTGTCTAGGACCCGAACCTTTCTTCGGTCGCCTTGACTGGATTTTGTTTGTCTAGGACCCGAACCTTTCTTCGGTCGCCTTGAATGGGGATTGCTTTGACAAAGTACCTGGGGGTCCTCGCCCGAGGATTTGATGGTTTGCCTGGTGGGTCCTCGCCAGCAGATCTTGAAAAGCTCAAACGATGAGCACCTGGGGGTTCTCGCCCGAGGATTTGATGTGAGCATAGGGGTCAATCCCATGCTCAGAGGGTGAACAACGGGGTCAATCCGATGTTCAATTGGTGAACAACGGGGTCAATCCGATGTTCAGTTGGTGAACAACGGGGTCAATCCGATGTTCAGAGGGTACCATAACAATCGTAGGTACATAGATTTTTGGAATCGGGCATGGGTAGAATGTACTTACCTGGGCACGTTCCTGCCTCTTAAGGGCGTGTCTCCTGTCAGACAAGTTTTTGTTTGTACACACATACGTATTCATCGGAGAAATAGACAACTCAGGCTATTCTTGAATATCGTATGAAATATCTTGACCAGCTAGTCAAGATGCTTTTTCTTTTGCAAAGAAACACCATGTTTACCTTCTGGGTAGTTTGAAAAGAAATCTGATGAAATACCTGGGATTTCTTACCCGGAGGTTTGATGTATCATCTGCTGAATACCCGACCTTTTTCAGGGTATCTCTTCTGCGATGATGCGATGATAATGAGGGCTTCTCCAGCGCCCGAATTTTCGTGTTCTATCACTGAGGATTAGAACTTTGAGCTGTAAAAGCATGCTGTGTCAATTCCGCTTGGGGAACAGAAGAAATTTTTTGTGACATCTTTGGAGACGCTCCAAAGGGCATATGTTCTTTGAGTCTTTGAAGATATTTTACCTGTCAAAGAGAGTTAGCGCAAACATGCATGCATTCATCAAGGATAGACAAGCTAGGCTATCCCAGAATGTGTATTTGAAAATTCATGCATGATGATTTTGCCATGTTTGCATCACCAAACATCCACTGAGGGTCAATCAAGACAATATTCACTCGGGAGGTGGACTTCTCAAGATGCTGAACGAGGGATTCTCAGTCAGAAAGGACTTTCCACTCGCTCTCGTTGAAAAGGGCTATTTGTCCCGTCCATTAATACGGGAACATCGAAAACACTCAATCTGACCGTTATCACATCCGCAAGGGTCTGAGTTTTCTCGCAAGCGGTACGACGCTGCCAATCTGAGAGGTCTTCTTCAGGGTCGTAATGTAAGCTTGGTCAATGGCTTAATGAAGGTGACTGTTCAAGTCAAGGCCATGAAAGAAAATATTCTGCAATCATCTCCGGGTTTACAAGTCAAGAACCCTGCAAAACGAGATAGAAATAGTCTTGCTCGCACTTCCTCGAGCGTTGTTTATAAACATTTGAAATTTCACGTTAATTCAAGTGCCCTAGTCAGAAGAGACTTCATGAGGGATGTAACGTGGGCTCAGTTCACAGGTTGAGAAACGAAAGGATCGTTAGGCTCAAAAATGTGTGTAAGGGTGAAAGTTGGTGATCATCTTGGCGTTGTCACCTGTCTTTTTCTTCACCGTCGGGACTCTTTTGGAAAACTCCCTGGGTAATCCCGTGTTTTAGCTTCTTTGACAACTTTTTCTTGAGGAGCTTCTGTGTCAAGCATTTTCCTAGATACCATTCTATCTCCGTTCCAATTGCTTTCTCAAGAATAGGCTCGTCTTCATCTATCATGTGACAGATCTTTGTCAAGACAGAGTTCCTAAAGTAGGAATTTGTATCGAAGAAGAACTCAAGTTTAACCCTTTGGGGTCGTCTTTTCATCGTTTTTCTTCTTCTCCTTTTTCTTTTTCTTTGTTTTTTTATTCATGGGCATTGGCCTTGCTTTTACCAGGCACACTGCTTTTTCATGCCCCAAGTTTTCAGCATTTTTTTACTGCTCTTTTGGTGTTGTCAGGACTAGCCTAAACAAGTTTGAGCAGACAATGTTATTAGGCTCTTGGAGTCTTCATCTTGATTCGGTACTTTGGACCCTGATGCTCAAGCTGTAGTGACTTTTGCCTTGCCCCGGTGTAGGGGATGATCACCAACTGGGTTGGTACGAAATGAAATCGCCGGCTCAATTGGGCTAGCAAGGGATATGAGTGTATGGGATAGAAGAAGAAACGCTCTTCGTCATCCTAGGGCACTTAAATTATTGTGAGAGTTCATCTGCAATAAAAACACTCAAGATTAATGCAAATGAGAGCAAGAAA